CTAAATGGCCACCATGGTCACCACCCATCTTGAGGAGTTTGCCCCCTCACATATACTAATGTGCCACAAACAGGACTTTAATATCACCAACCATTCCCATTTTATTACGGTGTATCCATAGAAATGGCCCACCCTGTATTTGAATATGTTGAAAATATACATTTGAAAAAGTTGAGTAATGACAAAAGAAAATTTAGAGTCAAAAAACATCTAAATGAATACTGAATCCTCAAAAATTTTTGACTGGAAGGGTCTGAGTATTTCAGAAACTGCTGACGTAATAGAACGAAACCACACAAACATCTGTGGGGTTCAAAGAGAATGGCATGAAAGAGAGAAAGGTCTACAGAAAAACATGTCTGAATGCACAACATGTTGACTGCAGACTGAAGCAGATGGGCTGCATCAGTTTTCCTGACAAGTTAACATGCTTGTCATAAATTTGCACAATGCTTTGCATTCACTGCCTCGTATTAAAAAAATCCCAACTTACTTTTTCATGAGGAATGTGTTGAAGAGCTTCTGTTTCTTGATGAACAGGGCAATCCGTCGGTTTAGGTAGACAAACAAAGCCCCGCCAAAACCACTGATAATACTGCAGAAAAAGAGAAAGAAGTTCATGCCTTGAGACATTAAGAAATATGATTTTTATATTGAGGGACTAAATCTTGTTCTGCGGTTTTGCAGAACCTCTGCCCATCTTCACATCAGAGAAACTGCCTGGATGAGATCTTTTAATTCTTAATCTAAACTAATCACTTGTTTTTCCAACCACGAGAATTGAGAATTATAGCTGCTATCAACTTCAACATGAGCTACTGCTTAGCTACTCCATAACCAATGGCTAAACAACACACCAATAAACACGTCAAATGCCATTCTGAGTTGTTTGTTCTATTAGTTTAACCATTACACTGTCCAAACCATGAATCAGAACATGGGATACAAAACACACAAATGCACAGACTGCACAAACATACCAAACTACAAATCAACAGAATGCTGCACCAATTATCAGACCAAATTGCGACATCAACCCACAGAATCAAACTGCAGTCAACAGAAGGTTTCACCCCATGCTCACCCTTTTCCTCATCAAACACCAGGTGAGGTGAACAGGTGAGTGCACCCACATGCACTGCTTAATACCCACCCATGAGTCATGCCTCACAACAGTTTACCAGAGTAAGTAATTAATTACTTTTGAAAATAAGTAATCAGTAAAGTAACGGGATTACTTTTTTGGGGAAGTAATCAGCAATTAGCTACTGATTTCTTTTTTTAAGTAACTTGACCAACACTGCAGTTTACCCATACAGTGACACCCAAAAACCAACCACCCAAAAATGTGTTTCATGAAATATTAACATATATACATATAACATTTGATATCTTTCAATGTTATATTGTGAATAAAATATTGATTGTATTTCATTTTCATGTGTATTATACACAATTCACAATTTGAAAAGTGTCTATTAGAAAATGTAAGTTTTTAAAATTCAGTTTATATATTTTTGGAAAAACTAATACATTGTGTGATTTTTTTTTTCATATGGGTTCAAATTCAGGTCATAAATATTTTGTACCTGTAAATCAGACTGTGCACTTGTGAACTGGGAAATGTAAAACAAAATATCTAAAAGTTTTATCTTTGTGTGTAACACTTCAAGTTTTATGCACAAGTTCCTGACTTGACTGTGTTTGGCTGTCAGAGGGGAGCCTTACTGAGCTTAGACAGCAACAGGTAAGCATTACTGTATGGTTTGGGAATCAACTGATGTTTTTGTAACCGGTTAAAAATGTTATAAATAAATATTAACCACATTGAAATCCGTGTTAAAATGTAAAACAATAATGGTTAAAGTATTTAGAAAGAATTTGTAATTATTGCCAAAGGAGTACAATGTGTTTAATATATTTAAAAGTGCATTTGCTTTATGTGTGGTTCATTTTTAATTTAGTAAGGTTGTTATCGTGTGAAGAACTGTGTAATAGGAAGCGAGTATGTTTGTGATGGAAGCAGGACAGAGAGAAGTTGTGACAGAACAAGAAGTTTGCGAGTGTATATATAACCTTGACTATCTGATTGACAGTGTTTGTCGATGTGCACATTTGTAAACTGGCTGTAAGAAGCTGGGGATGTTTCTGTGAATCCACCACGCAGCTGCACACTTTCTTCCTTCCTTTTTATTTCCTGCCCCGTTTGTTTCTTTAGCTGTCAGAATATTTGAAGGCCAAGAAAGATACCAAGCGGATTTACTTTACCAAGTGGATCATCACAGCCTTGCTGTATCGGTCCATTTGATCGACATTTGTTATTATTATTTTATTTTATTAAGTTATTACAGACGGGACAGACATGACCGGGGAATAGGACAGGGAGGGAGAAAGACAGGGAGGCTAAGGAAAAAACAGAGGGGAAGAGGGACAGTGAGAGAGGACACTTTAGAAAAATCACTGGTTGAGAGAAAAAACATGAAAAAAGAGAAACAAGCAAAAAGAGAGCAACATATTAAACACAACACTACTGCAACCCACTTAGCACTTAACCTAGCTAAGCGTAGATAACAGTAAATACTGAATTTTCAATGTGTTTTGTGCAGCAGTCAAGACGGACAGCTCACAATGTGCTGTGAGGTAGCAGCCAAGGAAGGTGTAGTTTGTGTCTGTGCACACCTGAGTGCACACCTGTGTGCATCAGCACGCTTGTATTCAAAAGGTTTCTCCATGTAATGATGTGCTAGTGGGTGTGGGGAGCCATAGCCCCGCCCCCAGGGCATGAAACAGGCATGGAGGAGATCCAGGCCCAGACATCCAGAGGCCCCAGAGTGTGGGAGCCCAAGGAGGAGCTGAGCAGGGACATCTGTGCCACCCTCCTGGGAAGAGCTGAGGAGAGCCCCAGACGAGGGGTCACCCAGCAGCCACAGAGCAGAAGCCAGAGGGGGGTGCAGTGGCCTGCCCGCGGGCACCGGCAGCCAGCTGTGCCAGAGTGGACTGAGCCCCCACCCCCGGTTGGAGCCTGACCGAGCCACGGGCGCCAGGCCGGGAGTGTGCCCCCATATCTTGGAGAGTCTGAGGTGTTGTCAGAGGGGCGGAGTCTAAGACCCGACCTGACATACAGACACAGACGAACAGGCACACAGACACAAACATTCCCACCCTCATGCACACATGTACAAACACTCAGCACTCACCCAACGTAAAGACAAATGGACACTGTACACACAATCACACTCCCCAAACAAACTCTATACAAGCTACCCTAACCCTACAAGGGCAATCTGCACCTAGACCCAGGAGACCCTTTTGTCTCCAGAGTTTCTGGTGTGAGAGAAGAGTAAATGACTGGAGAGACGCCAAGAGAGACTGAAGAGGAGTGACAGTGATCTCCTGCTTTCACTGTGGATTCCCTGCAGCCCTCATCTCTGCACGCTTGTATAGCACTTAGTCACTGTCACACACTTCACCTGGTGTTTGTGGATAAAACCCTCTGTTCTTCCTTTGCAGTAGTCCTGCGTTTGAGTCCCCCCAATGACCGTAACACCTTTTCCCTGCGTTGGAGACATTGGACATGGCAAGTAGCCCCTCCCTGTATGCTGATCACTCTGCATTCAACACATAACTGTTTCCCTACAGAAAACATGTGACTACAGAGCCTATGCATGCAGAAATATTAAACTAAAATTAGTCTCAGTTTTGAGTTGAAAAGATGTCCACAGGAACCACATTTGGACTATAAATAGCCCGTATACTGAGGTCACACTAAAAGTATAAATATAAAGTATAATAGACATGAAAAAGGTCAAAGCCTGGCATCACAAAACAAAGCCTTCAGACCAAAAACAGAAGTCCAAATTTACTTATGAAAGATGTCACTTCAACATCACTTTACGCTCTCCCCTCACCCCCAAAGAGTCAGCAGGCAATGGCTGCCCTCTCTGAGACTTGTTCTTCAGGAGGTTTCTTCCTGTTAAAAGGACGTTTTTTCTTCCCACTCTTGCCAAGCACTTGCTCGCAGCAGGTCATCTGATTGCTGGGGTTTTCTCTCTGTTAATGTCTCTACCTCATAATATAAAGCACTTTGAGGTGACTGTTGTTGTGAATACATAAATAAAACTGAATCAAACCTACTTAAGTGGTGCTCCTTAATAATATCAGACTATATGCAGCAATCATAATATGTTGGAATATCTGTCAGAACAAAAGGCTTTTAAATGACTGCTAAAAACTCAGTCAACAAAAAGTGTTTCGTATGCACGTCTTTCTCCTGATGCTCAGCTGATGAGTTGGAACTAGTGGGTATTTTTCAATTTTACTATTTTTAAAGCAAATTTTAGCATTTCAAATGTAGAGATGGAAACTTACCCAAGCAAAGCGAAGGCAGGAATCTCCTTGAGGTCAAAGGGAAAGTCTACCTGGAAATGGGTTCTGAAAAGGGCTGTGACGGTCTCTGGTGAAAGAGAAAGCAAGAGGATGAGCTAGTGTATCACTGAATAGTCATCAAAACTTTAGCAATAACATTAAGTATTACAGATGCTGAATAACTGATGGAAAATGGAGAGTAAAGCTAGTGTCAGGCTGAGCACAGTGAGCAGCTCGATGAAGAAGATTTTTTAAAAGTCCTTTCTGATGCAACAGGAATGTGGTGTACGTCTTGTCCCAAAAACAAATGAGGTCATCTATCATTTGTTAGGTGAATGCATAAAAAATGATCCTGCTGAAGTTTATTGAGAAAGTACTGAGCAAGCCTCAAAACCATGTTTGATCAAACTACACTAGAAACTGAAACTTGCAGCTCCACTGTGACTCATTCTGCTGCGTTTACTTTAACTTGTCTCTTAAATAAACCATCAATATACAAATCACAGCTACGTGTGTTAGTAACGTGGAGACACATTTCATTTGTTCATGCGTTCTGTGTTCAGGGTCTGCTGATTTAAATGCTTGACTACTTTTTAAATTGACATTTTTTAAAGAGACTACATCTGAAAAATTAGGAATTCCCAACAAGCTTTGAGTCCACGTTTTCCTGAATCCATAACTGCAAACAGCCTAACCCTATGAAAGCAGTAAGGTTTCATTTAATGATCAATGCTTTTTTTTTAAGTATTAAAAGGTCGACATTGTGAATTCCCTAAAACACCTGGTAAAAACATCTGGCCACACAGTCATACCTTCTTCTTCGTGCCACACAGCCAATACCCTGAAAAAGATGGCAGCGATGGTGACAGAAAAAAAGCCTCTCCAATAGCTCCTCACAGCAAAGAATGTGAATGTTACTTCAATACTGAAGAGCACACCTGAAACACACAAACAACACAGAGAGGCTCAAAACAATCTTGAAGCTGAAGAAATTGGCACTGATACAGGCGTGAAAAAAGAAACGCTCAATTACAAGACAGCTTGTGAAACATTACTGAAACTGCTCCACAGATTTCAGCAACACAAAGCTTATCATATTACATGTTATATGTTACACTGCTCAACTTAAAGCCTTAACAGTGTTTACAGATTTAGCTTACGTCGGAGTGTTACTACGTCACCTTTGATGAACCTCACCTCCTACGGGCGCAGCCAGAACGCAGCCCACTCCCACAGCACAGGCTGCTGCCAGCATCTCTCTGTACCTGGACTCGTTCTGAAATCACACGGATTTCAGCTTTAGAATAAATAGATGTGGGATACAGAAATAAATAACCTGCTCACCATTTAGGCAACATTGAATAGATCAGACTACATTAAATTAGCTACAGTTACAATGTGACCGTAAGAAGGTGGAAGACCATTTTAAGTGTTTATCATGAATAGCAGTAATTCTCTGCTCAAAGATATACTGTATGATTGTATCTTCTTTCGCTTTGAAGGTGAAAAGGTTTGAAAAATAAAATATGATAATAATAATAATTCTTTATTTAAAAGGGACAATGGAGTGTAACACAAGTATAAAACATGAAACTGATGTACTGCAAGTTTATAGCCCTGGTATGTTTTACTTTCTTACCCCACATGAAGCTGTTTTGGCACATCATGATCCTGGCTTTTCTCCCAGCTATTTTGAAATTGCTCTTGTTTTTAGTCTGGATAAACTTTTGCCTCGGTTCTGTTTTCATTTTGATATTGTTAGTTATTAACTTTTTCTTGTCCTCCTATTTCTCTCAGGTCTAGTCTGTGTTTCTGTTTTCTCCTGTGTTTACTCAGTTATGTCGTTGTGGTTTCACCAAATTTGTCAGAATCTCGTGGTGTTGGAGCCGATCAACACTGGTAGATTCATTTATCCTTCAAAGAGCAAAGTATAGCTAAAATCTTCACCAAACCATAGATTGCTTCTGAATCAGTTTTCAGCTTTTACACAGACTGTTTCCTCAATCATCAGAAATCCATCACAACTTTGGAAGCTACACTGCTGCTTGTATTCTTTCATATTGTGCGCACAGTATGAAATAGATATGAAATGCTTTTGTATTTGAATCAAGTCCAGTCAAAGTATATTTACATACCATGTTTTTAAACAACAAAAGGTTACACAAAGTATTCATTAAATAGAAACAGTCACTAAAGCCAGAGTAGCGTAGCTGCAATATGATCACATGGCTTTTTTCCCGTGAAAAAGCGAGCTTCTGCATTTTGATCGACTTGGAGGTGACGAGGTGAAGATTGAGCAGAGCCAGCATGTAAAGAATCATCGAGATGAGAGCAAATGAAAGTCTGAATTACTGTCTCTAAGCCGTGTGGTTGGAGGCCGGCCTTCACCCTACTGAGGAGACTCAGTTGAAAGAAACTTGTCTTAACAACAGAGCTGATCTGTATTAAATTTTAAAGCACAGTCAAAAGTCACACCAAGCACTGTCATACCCGTCAAATGGGTTGGGATGCCCAAATAAAATTATTTCTCTCCAACCACAGTTGTACATCTCTGAGACAGTTCGCTAGTGCCTGAATAGAAATATGACTGTTGGCATTTTATAGGCAAAAATATGTGTAGGACATTTGCAAAGCGTAAAAAAAATAAAATCAACAGTGGATGAATTCAATAAAACATGAGAAAGAAAAAGACTCACCTCATAGATTCCTCGAAACACAGGCAACTTGCAGAGGAGAGCTCCACACAAACTGGCGATGTGTACAAAGGGAGCCTGACCGAAGGAAAAGGCATGAAACAGGTTCTCTAGCTGCTGTTTGACGGTCTGTCAACAGTTACACATGTTGCGGTTTTTATGCCAGTTGCAGAAAATGAGAAGTGATCTCAGGTGAAAATCTAATTTAAGTAAAAGAAATTTCATATAAGCACAATGGTGCTCCAACACTTTGCTTTGATTTACTCTGTGTGGGTTTCTGAGGACCAGATGTGGTCTGAGTGTGAGCCCGTCTTCTGAGGGATCTTTACTCTTTATTTGGATGTCTTAAAAGCTGTGGTTCCCTATTAGGGCTGTCTCTCCGTGGTGGTGTCTTAATGCTGTGACTCACTGACACCGTGCACGTCAGCAACAGCAGAATGTGATCAAAACTTCAATTTTGTTGAGAATCTAAAATAAATAAACTCACTGATAAAGACATGTAGCTCTTAGAATATTAGATCCTTCAAACTACCGAGTAATTATTCCCAATTTGATGGTTTGGATGGTGACTGCAGACAGACACAGGAACGCCTACCCACAGCAACATGCAACAGTACATGTACATGAAGACATTTAAAGAGTGTGCAGCTGATTTGTGTGTATGCATCTATTTTACCTCTTTGCCAAGGGGCATACCACTGCCCAAGGCAAACGCCAGACTGATGACTTTAGCCACAAAGGTCCTGAAGGTGAGATATTCTTTCAGTAATACTCCTCGTAGGATGGTCTTCATTTCCGAAATCCCTGAACCTGTAGGGGACAACAACGGGCTGAATGTCAAAACTTTCTGTTAGACCCCAAAAGATTGTTTACATTACAATGAACAACAATGGACAAGAAGTACAGATGTTATTTTAATGGAAAAAGTACCAGACATCACACATGATGCCAGGTGTCTCTTGAAAATGAATCTCAATGAGATTTTTACTTGAATAAAAAATGTATGTGTGCAGTTTGTCGCACAATGAGTTGCTAGCTAGTCTTTTAGCTAGATTTAGGCTACATCAAGTATAGCAGAGATGAATCTGAATTTAAGATGATGATGCTTAGAGTCAACTTTATACCAAACCACATGTCTTGTATAAAAATAGTGGAAGCAGCACAGTGTCAGTGTAGGGAGGACATGAGCCAAGATCCTGTTCAATTCAATTGTGTACATCCACAAAAAGCAGCAGTTCAGCTGAACACTAATAAAATCTGAAGCTTACATTAGAAATTATTGACAATTGTGATTCCTTTTCATACACCGAGACTCTACATAGATCCCAGTGTTCCTCCACCTGTTGAATCCCACTTTAACCACTGAATTTTCTTATTTTGTTGAGCAGGTGTGGAGGCAAAGTTACCTGCCACCATGTGGCCAACTGGAAAAAAATTATTTTTTACATATCAAACTAACCACAGTCAATGGAAGTAGAATTTAGCTTTGAATAGTATTTGTATTCTTATATAGTAGTATTGTTTCACCAGTATACTAATATAGCACAAGGTTCAGTTGCCTTGTACAACAATAGTTAGTAGAATCATCCTTCAAAGAGATACTTTTACTTTCTTCCTTTGAGTACATTTGAGATCAAGTACTCTTTCACTTTTACTTGAGAAATGAACTTTTTTCAGTACTTGAGTATTTCTTTTTTACATTTTGGTGTCACATCTGTTTACATACCAGCAGCCTGTGGGGAGACGATCTGGGTGAAGCCGGCAGAAAACACGATGAGAGCAACAGAATAGCCGACCCAGCCCAGGTACTGCAGGAACCCGTTACTGTCCAGTCTACCATATATCCACTGCTGTCCTGTGGACACACAAACCAGGCCCAACGTGTAAAACCATCCTCACAGATTTACAGTGCAGTTTCAGACCTATACAACAAAACTGGGACTGACAGGTCGAGGTTAGTTTCCCTTTCTGAAAGTTTGAAACACGCAGCTGGAGAAATGTGTTTGAATATCTCAACCTGTGAGATTTGACATTTCTGATGAATTTCAAAAGTTCAGGTGTCTAATTTCAACTTCCTGTTTGCACAGTTTGCTTACTTATTGTTCCCTTATCCACCTCCCTCCTCCCTGCTCCCCTTTGCTCTCATCTTCATTACTTTCTTCTTTACACCAAACTGTTTTTTCCTTTTTACACTTTTAAATACCTCTTTCATTCCTGTCTACTGTAGCTTCTAGTTTGTATCCCTTGGAGAACCTTTAACACACAAAGAGTTACTGAGCTTGATTTGCTGTTTTGAATAAAACGTACTGGTAACTTTCTTAAACTGAGTTCTAATAATGTGAGAAAAATTGAGTTCAGTTTACTTAATATAGATTACTA